TATGGACAAACTTTACCAACTACCTGAAATCCTCGTTCGATCACATGGATGTGCTGTTTAGCAGGCCTGGTAAATTTTCGATGCCATGGAATTCTGGGGTCTCATACTATGGTAGTGATCGAGGTATAATTTTAATCACTTTCATTTAGGCCACGGATCATGATGAACGAAGTACGAGAGGCTTGAGTTCAATTTTTACGTCTCCACAACCTCTTAGCATGGGAAAAGTAGAATGATACATAAAAAATGGACGAGAAACTGTAATGTCAGTGTTCCGCGTTCATTGAGATGGACGACCTAGAACACGTTAAAGTATTTGAGTGAATTGGCTTCAGAGAGGCCTAACGAGTCAGGCTCCGGAAGGACACTTAAAGACTTCAATACGAATTGCGTGTCAGTGACATGTGGATCTGCAGTTTTGTTTGCGAGTTATTTTAATTCCTGAAAGGGGCCATAAACGTGTGAAAACTTTCTAATTGGTAAACAAACGGCTGGAGTAATCGGAAAGTTGAAGAACATGGTTAATGTGAAGTCAGTACAGTAGCAAGTCGCGAGAGTTTTTGTCCAGAACCATATCTTCATCTGTAGTACAATGGATTACACACATTGCACCGTAACGTTTTTCCGAATAGACCGTTCTCCTTTTGGTTACATGAATGGTAATCGGATCAAACTGTGGTCTATATAGTCAACATAGCCCAGTCACAAAGAAACTAGATGACTCGCCACTCAAAGTTGGTGAGCGAAATTTTCCAACCTCAGTCTGAACAGTTACGGGCACATTGTCTGGCCGGTTGTATTTAATTTTCCAGTAATCGGTCATCCATTCTAAATACTTACGCAATCACAATGCAGATGGGAAATCTGTAGATAGTGTGCTGTTGGACGCGGATCATTTTCGGACATCGCTTCAGACGTTTACTTGCACATTTCCAATAAAAATAACTAACAAAGGTGATAGAGTGCTGTCATTTGAGCCACAAAACAACTAGCTTCAATGCAAACAAAACAAATGATGGGGACAAGAAGAAGACAGACGTCCGGACAGGCTTGTGCCAGAGTGGTCTTGTACAAAAATATCGAAGTCGCGGTAACCATAGAATTGTGATGATGGACATAGTGGGTAACACTGAAGGCGTACTGAAATGGAGAGGACACAAGGCGATTCAAAGTGGTTTGTGCTTCGCTGTCAACCGATCATACGTGATCTTGTAATCATTTCAAGTGACTCCACCCAAAAACTGAGTGAAGAAAGTTTCAGAATTGGGAATTAAGTACAAATCATGTGGAGCATGTGGGATGAAACGACCACACCAATATATTCTAAATTGTATTTGATTTTATAAAAGGACCGACTCTGTGGATTGCTCATATAGTTTTATTCTTAGTCAGCACTTCTCTGTGATTGCACCAGCCAAGCCAAAAAGGAGGAGAATGCTCAAGCTATCTTTAAATTAAATAAGTGCCTCCTTCTGTGTTAAACGTTCAAACTAGTCTCACGGTTAAACGGGAGCTCTTTAAAGCGAAGCATTTGAGATGGTACCCAAAACCAAGATAGATAATTCAAATATTGTTCTTTCATTTGAGATTCTTCAGCTCTTTATCCATCTTAATATCTAATAATTCTTCTCAGCATTGTGAAATCCAGATCGTGCAAATAGGTTTTCTGGAATAAATACCAGATCACTTGACTTACTCTCATAACAGAATCATAGTCGACGAGCCGGTGGCCTTGTATTTTGTTGACTGAAGAGAGAGTAAACTGGATCCCTTGCCAAATCTTGTTCAGTCAGTGATCACATGAGCTTGCTGAAAAAGACTATTCGTGCGTTTCCAAATTAAGCTGTGAAGTTTCCCCAAAAAGTGTATACGCCACGCAGCTCTGTATCAAATATCGACTTGAAATTTGAACCGCTTCTCGCGTATTTCAGAAAAGCAGCTTGCTTAGTGGTAGATACCTTGAATGACAGTGCAACAAAAACCAAGCCTGTTCAGCAATAACTGATCTATCACACACTGTTCTGAGCGTCAGTGCTGGCGAACCAGACCTCAAATCTACTTTTTAGTCTGTTACAGCTGTAACGTCACAGTGAGAAACCGTGTGAATCAATCGAAAGTCATATGCGGTTGCACGTTTCTCACTAGCTCAAGAGATCTGACCTATTTGTACGCATATCGCTCTCGGTTTAACACTCCTCCTAGTGTTCCGAGACGGTTAATTTGTCCAGACCATATCAAATGAGGAAGCATCTGACTCGAGTTTTGTTCACAAGAAAACTCAGAAGTGATTGGCATCGGTTACCTAAAGTGGGAAGCACGTATGTCCTGCGTGAAAGTCGAGCATAATAACATTGGTCCACCAACGCGCACTGAACCAACCATGACCGACCAGCTGAAAAAGATCATAATCGGGTGATGCGAATGGTTTGCAGGTACTGATCTAAGTTACCGCTGCATAGTTGTTCTAAGTTCGTAAAAAAACGTGAACTCATATGTCCTGGATCGTTAGGTAAAGGATACTCTTTATGACAGTCAATTCAAACTTATGTGCACACCAGAAGACATGCCCAAATGTAAGGTGACTGATTCGCGAAGTTCATTCTCAGGCATCGTTTGGTAAACTAGTGCCATTTTTGGATACATTCAGTGAACAGCCTCTAGTGGTGAAGTAACCCGGTTATTAAGAACCCATAGTTCGTTTGGCTTTGAAGTTTTATGATGTAGTCCAAATGTTCATCCTCCATTCTTCTGCACCAGATACTTCCAAGAAACAAGACACAAGAATGGTTACTATAGCCATGTCCCCTGAAGAATACACTGAATTTATGGGCCTTAGGCAGACTAACAATCAGCTCAGGTAAAGTACCAAGTTTGGAATCAGATTTCTAAATAATTCTTCTTCAAAGGTGAAAGGACTTTTATCTGATTTATTCATTCGACATAAAACAGTCTTAATTTACTACCCAGTGTTATGATTAACATTTATGGTGACTCCCAGAAAATATAATAAATTTTCTTTACCATAGCGATTAACTCCAGACAGGTGTAGTCACGATCTAATATGTCCAAAACATCCCCTGAAAACTCCCCTGGTCTATTATTAACCGTGTTGTAATTGACACTGGCCAGTGTTTTTATTTAATTTTGAGTTGAAAATAGGCTGTAGATCTTCAAGCCGTCCTTATGGTAGAACACTCAACGCTAGTATGGGTTAGCATATTGCATAACGCTACCATTGTGCAACACATTACTGCTTCAGGCGCTTGACTGGGAGTCTCATTAGAAAAGTAGTACCACCACAACTGATAAATCTCATATTGAATAGCCCGCCAAATGAATTGTAAAGGTACGTATGTAACTAGTTCAAATGTACTGGATATTCCCATAGATTGGAGGTGACAGTTTCAGAATTACGGAAGAACGGAAACTTGACAACAAAGCTGCGTTTATATAATTGCCGATTTTCACTCCAGGAAGAAAACCTAACTGAGAAGCAGTTGGAAGGGAAAATGGCCAGGACTTTGTGAGCGAGCATGACATCAATGGTGAGCCTCTTTCTGATCAGATGCTGACCAGGTCATATTGACTGACAAGGAGATATTTTATTGATGTCATGCTATTCTTCCTGGCCCAAAACGATCGCTGCTAAAACCTTGTGAAACATACAACACAGAATACATGCGTCATCCTCGGGTTCGGTATGTATTTCGTCCGCGGAGCCAACAGGCAGTTGTGTATTCATTAACCCCGTCAACGCTTGGCTTACTAATTTTTGGTAAAATCAAGGCAGACGCAAGTGTAAATTAATCAACTACCGTACTGATAATAAAAGTTCCCTCAGGGTTTCGCAACAATTGTAGGACATTGTGAGGCGTAAATTCACCTTGTACTGTCATGGGTGATGATTGAATGAAACTGGTTGATAATGGGTTGAAATGTTTCTGTTTCACTTAGCTTCCCAGATCTTTCCTTGCACTGAACATCTGGTGAGAAGAAATGTTTTGCTAAAATGAGTGCCTTAATTTTTCACCTGGAATGCCAGAGTATAGGTTCTAAATTTCATGAAGAGATTCGATGGACCCGAATTTTAAATATTTTAACCTCAGATTATTTTTTTAAAAAAACGAACCGCGATATTAGTGATCAGGATAGATAGGTCAATCAAGTGGAGTCTTTTGTTCGTGTAAGCTGTTCCAATGGACCATCGATGCTGAAAGGCAACTCCTACTAAATGAAACTGGAAAAACGCTTCCGATGTAGTTCTTCTAAGTGACAAATGTGTGTCGGTTAGTGTGTCGCTTAATACTTCTCTTCCACATCGGTATCGTTATTTATTCTCCCTTAACGAGTCAAGACACTGTTTGCTTCACAAAAGTAGGTCAAAATCTTGTCACGAATCATTTTTAACATCAGATAAACACTGACAATTAAGCCATTTGATTTAGGCACATTGGTACTTGCTCCACTAACATGTGACAGCTACATTTCATATGTGCTTTATAAGCAAAACCTTTTCAACAAAAACAACCCATACGAAACAGTGGGAGTAAAAAATACTTATCCTGCAAACTACTCCTCTTATTCATTCCTCATTCCAAATTACCTTTCCGAACAATTTCAGTAAAATTATTTTATCTACTAAGGGTTGGTTGAACCCAGCAGAAGATAGAACTAATCTTACTGTGTGATAACAAGATGTTGGCATTTAATTATATGTTTCAAGTATGTCTGAAGAGAGAGGCACTGAGGATTCGTATTACCCTCGTTAATCTACTTCTCCCACCATTCCGCCCATCCTATAATTTGTACATTTCCACAAATAGAGACTTGTTTTCTCAGAGGTCTGTATCACAACAGTTTAGAAAGTTAATCAGAATTGATCATTTGGCTTAAAATTTGTTCAGCAACTCAGCCGCGGTTTACAAAACGTCGAAAGCATCGCTCAGTCTCTGAAAGCCGCCGATGCTCAGAAACTCAAGTGATTTTTCATATCTCTGTAGATCCGTGAGTATGAGAAGATAAGTAAACACATCTATATGGTACCTAACCACATTATTGTTGATCATTCCTGTAAACAAACATTACAACAACCGGTTCGACGGGCTCCACAGTTAAAATGCAAACGTTTGGTCGCCCATCCAGGTGACATCGTTGGTAACACCTCGACTGGTGATGAATCGCTTGAAATCCAGCTGCCAAGCTCGGCGAGCAGACCGACAACCAAACAGCGCAACCGAACTATCTATATTCCACAACACTGCCGATTACAAAAACCAGTATCTCACTTGATAACCAAACCAAGTAAATAGTTTGGAGTCATGGATGGCATGAAGGGTACCTTCATCATGTGTAATGATCTGATGCTAACAAACCTGTGGCCCCGATTAACTTAGTTCCCCATGATCTAGTGTGAGCTCAAAGAGATTACCATTAGAAAGTTTTCTAGCTCAACAGAGGCCATTTTGGGTGATCACCGGTGTTTTCATTTTTTGAGTTCTGAAAAGGTTCCCGTCGATGCTTAATGCAATAAAGGTCGTTCAAACAATGTTATCCCTCTTTGAGAAGTCCACGACACATTTTTCGTGCGCTTGCTTCTTCTTTGAGAATACTCAGGTAGGTATGACCTTTTAATCAGAACGTCTTCTGTATACTCTAATCTATAAATAAAAAGTGGGAATTTCAGGCTTCCATTCTCTCTGAGAACGCTATTATACATAAATCTAAATCACGAAAATCAAATCACTTGTTCATCCTGATCTTTTAAGCCCCGAATTCCTTGACGCTAAAAATAAAGTTTGCTTTTTTTCCGATCAATTGTTTCTCTTGCTCAATAGTTTCCTTCATTCTCAACGCGTGCTTGGGTTTCCCATCAGCTGCCGAACTCATCTATAGAGTTGCTTAAAAACTAGGCTTTCACGTACGAACAATTTAAAGCCAGCTTTGATATCAGTCTGGTCATTCCCATGAACGTCTTAATTTGATCCGAACAATATGGAATTTTGACCGTCTTAATAAAACAACCGAAGTTAGACTGAGCAAAGTGGGAAACATCTAGTTTTGAATGCAGCAAAAAGCGCCAACAAACTGAAGTTATTCACTTGGTGTTTGTCCCAGCGCATGTTTACTTTAAAACCTGAATAGCCGGGTAAAAGACGACAAATTGCTAGCTGCCACCCCTGAGGAATCACTTGTTTGGTCAAAAGAAATACGCCCACTTGTGGGGTTTGGGGCTGAATTCAAAAAAGTTGCAAATCTGGGTGGTGTTTATTTGCCTTCGAAAATTGGCTGATCTTGAAAATGGCACCTCCTGTGGGATTGACGACTGGGGTTTGTGTCCCAGTCTCGTTGGTATCGAATCGCTAACGAAATTATAGATTAGCTGTGGCTCGTAGCTTGTTTGCTGATCTAGGTAAACTAACGATTGGACGGAGCAGTTAAACCACCCATAGACTATAAGCAACCGACCGTATTTCATGCCTAAGGAAATTCTGAGTAGCACTGTGCAAACATGAAAGGTAAAACCCAGAAAAAATGGGAAATGTTGGGGGTATTCCACATCAGTGAATTCTTATAAGGGGAGAATTACGACCTGAGGAGTTTCAATCTGCTATCCTCGTTTGACATTGTCTTGTTCACCTCCTAGTTAGAAGCTCACGCGTGAGTTCTAGTACAGCACTATGACGTTCATTCGCAAAATACAGGCAGTTTGCTTAACAATTAATCGATTTAGAAGCGTACAAGTTCATACCGGGCAGCTGACTTAGTTAATTGGGCCTGCTATCGTTTGTTCATTGAAATAATATATCATTTCCATCTAGCAACTCAATAACAACTTGGTAATAATTGGAAATTGGAGTAGACAATTAATATTTCCAGAACCAGGGACCGGGCAGCTGACTTAGTTAATTGGGCCTGCTATCGTTTGTTCATTGAAATAATATATCATTTCCATCTAGCAACTCAATAACAACTTGGTAATAATTGGAAATTGGAGTAGACAATTAATATTTCCTAGAACCAGGGATCTGACAGTTTATTGAAAACAATATGATCTCATTCATTTGCATTACCTGATTTGATAACATTTTTTCGAAAAACAGTTGCAACAAATTGGCAAGACTCTATCCACAAAAATCGAAAAGGGACAGAAAATCTGCACACTTTGTGAAAATTGTTCGGGAGCTCTAATTAAACTTAAAAAAATATGTTCAAATAAGATATTTGACTCACAACACTCGCGTTTGATCAGTCTCCCCCGGTCCCAGCGCACCAAAGGTAGGAAAAACTGAACTCGTTTTTTTCACTCGAGCTTATCAACACTGCATATCTCTGGGCGTGTCTGGTGTGAACTCCAGATATCTGACATGCGAGGAGAGCGTGTTACCATCCAACAGTAAACACTGAAAGCACCTGAATTATCACGTCTGAACAGATGCTGATGTTAACGCTCGGGAAATATGATTGCTTGCCAAACAATTCGAAAAATGGCCCAGTCATTGCCCTGGTTTTATCGACCGATCAACCAACCTGTTTGGAACTCCCTGTCGCATAACGCGCGTGCAGGACAGCTTTTGATTAGTTGTAAGTGGTTGTGGAATTTGTAGACTCAGCATAATTTGTAAGCCCACCAGCACCAACACGTGACTAAGATTTTGCTAACAAGAGGGATAAGAACGCGAAATTGAGGACATGTCGTCCGTTTTACTGCAGCACTGACTGAGGCACTAACTAGCACTCAATTAGACGGAATAATTATGAAAACAGCACGAAGAATGGGAGCCCAGGATTCACGGTAAAAGTCACCTTCGGAAAAGACACATTCAGTATGCTAAACACTAAAGACGTGTCATTTTTCCTCCGGCGTTTATAGTTGTAGGTAGCTGTAGAACTCGTGGAATTCCTATTTACGTCACCTCGTTTTAACGATTTTTTCTTTTTATGGCGAAATTATTTCGGTGTCTCTAAGTCAAAAGTTAGACTCACTATGCTCGGTATTCACTCTTATTGGAGATCATCAACTATGCCTAGCTTCGTTCCTAATGATGTTTGATCTTCAGGCATCTGACATGGAAGGCATGCTTTTTCACCAATTCCCCATCAGCACACGCTGGTTTTGTCCTACATGCGTTGAAAACGGAGAGCCATAGTTTATTAATTATGTACGGCGTTTATCATCACCCTCGATGTAGCCTAGTTTATAAGCAATGACAAAAAATTTTTTGAGCCGCCACCCCACTCAGCAAAGAAAAGACATCTAGAAAGGATAAAATGGTTTTTATAATCGTCTTTAGCGCTCCGTAGACAGCCTATCGGAAGAATTATCTGCACCACGAATTAATCTTTCATCTGCGAAGCTGCCACTCGAGGAGACAGCGAAAACACGGCCGCAATACGTGAGCGCGTGATAAGGATTCCGTGATCGAAGAATGGGTGGCACTAAATTTTAAGTGCGAGTTAATCACATTGCTGATCAAGCACTCATCGCCGAGCGGCTAAATAGAATTCAGGGAGTCACGAGTTAAAAACTCCTGTTGGATTTTGAAGACACTCACTGCTGACGAATCCCAATAAAGATGAAGCAGCTGTTCAGTGATTTTCGGCGTTTCAAGGTAGACCATCTTCGATTACAGGACAAAAACTCAATTCGGGATCTCAAAATGCCCTAAATTGCCAACAATCCTATAAAATCGCCTTTCAGAAACGAAAACCCAATTGTCATCTTGCTTGATAATGATTTGTCTCACAGAATACTACAACGCACACTTAATAAGATATTTCGAAGAGTTTTCTTTACATTCCGAAAACGAGCTTATTAAACAATACATTAAATATGACGTGTAGCAGTACCACACTCGTGAGTGTGCCGGTGGGACTGACAAAATGGGTTTCCTAATCCAAAGTTCTTTTAGCTTTTCAACAAGGTTCACTTTCGGAACGCATTTAGGTTTCTACACTACGGCGTAACTATTACCATTTTATCTGTCCCTACCTCGACCATAGCGTTGGGTTCTTTGTTCAACCTCCAAGATAATATCCACCAACAACAATAATGTTGTCTATTCATTGGATGGTGTTGATAATCTCTTTATCGGTAAGGTCAAAATATGCTGTCATTTTATCCAAATCGAATAGTTCGTTTTGATTTAATGCTTGAAATTGTGATCTTATCTTTCACTCTATTCAAATGAAAGGATTACAGAAGCTCTCAAAATTTGAAGCTCTCTGATTCTCTCCCAGTTCTCGTTTCCAGTTTGTTCTAAAATCTCATTTCGTCAGGTTTTCTTGACAAGCTGGAAGACCTGGGAGAGAGCCATTGCCTGACGGTTGCGTAGAGCACGACAGCTGCCCCATTGTATATCATAAGAAAGTACACCTGGAACGTTACCTGACACCTGCCCTCGGTCAGGTAAAAATGCCAACTATGAGTGGATCTTGTGGGACGTTTTTTCGTATCCGCTCAGGTGCGTAGATTAAGACATCAGTGAAACTAGATACCGTGAGTTACAAAGGCCCAGATAGATCGGGTTTGGATAGACGTCAGCTGACTTGCTCAGATTTAGGTGTGACCTACTGCGTTGGTCTAATAGCTACGTTATCTTTGATTAATACTGCTTCGTTGTAGTGAATATGGCAACGGATAACTTTCATGTTTATCCCACATCATACTGTTTGGCGATCTTGGCATTCTGTGAATCGCAGAACCGTCTTTATTTTATTCGGATTCCTTGAATTTAGGGCGTGGTAAAGGGCGACTTAGTGGTTATAAAATCCCACGAACCACTCAACACGAAAGATGGGAATGAACCACGGATGGACCAACATAAATCTTGGAGACTGGCGACCTATTCACTCCAGGCTTGTATCAGGCAACTTTAGAAATGATCGAACCCCCGTTTGCTAGTGAAGGATCACCACCATCAGTCAATGTATCTAGCATAACTTGAAGAATAAAAACGTTAAAATTTATTTTGCTTAGCGCCGTTTGACTGATGAAACCTAAAATTATCTATAAAAAAATTGGTGTATATATTTTCTAAAAAAATTCGAGCCATCACTGTGTGTACTGCAGAATTTCACCTTCCATGATTTTCTGTTACTTTTTACTGCGCGAAATTTCAGACGGCCTGAGGAACAAGGTCTTTGGTTGAATGTATACATACTGTGGGTGTGGACTCAGCCAATTGGTACAGAAGCTATTGGCAACATTAACATTGTTTTCATAGCTTGGTCTATTAATCGGCCTCATTAGCAAAGCAACTAAACCAACCACCAGGCACCGCGGAGATCCTCCTTTGGGAATT